TGCCGCAAATAATTATACAGGGTGTCCGACAAGTAAGTGACCAAACGGAAGGTGGAGGTAGATTGGGTCAAACTGAGTCGAAAAGTCCTGAACCACTTTTTTTATAATGCTTAATAAAGGAGTTATTATTGAGTAAAACCTGACCAATCAGCGCCAACCTTTAGCCGGGCGCACGTTGGTGAACCGCGCGCCTGGTAGTATGCGGCAGCGCACACTTCACGGCGCGCGGCTCACCGACGTATGCCCGATGCCCGGCTGAAGATCGGCGCTGATTAGTCAGATTTTACTCAATAATCCTTTATTAAGCATTATAAAAAAAGTGGTTCAGGACTTTTCGACTCAGTTTGACCCAATCTACCTCCACCTTCCGTTTGGTCACTTACTTAAATCTAAAGAAAGATACTTCAAGGTGTGTTAGACAACGCAAAACATGAATAAATGTCGATATAATAAATAGTCCGCGAAATGTCGATATATTATCCATTACATCAATTTAGTAAACACTGTCAAATTAATACATTCGCAGATTTTCATAGAGATAATATTGTTATATTACGATTTAAAAGACATATATCTTTAAATACTTCCTACGCGCTCGCTCGTGATCGCTTGGCAATGCCGTACATTCGAATGCAATCGCTCGCTTGCATAACTCGGCAAGTTTACACGCCTTCTAATCGCTCTGACCTGACAGTACTGGTACAGCCACACCCACTTATAGCCTATATAGAGTGTAGATTTCCAATTTCATCAAGCCGCGAACGATTAATATCTTTTCCGTGGCCTTGCGTTTGCAAAGCGTGATGAGTCGAGGCGTTACGGTTTACTTTCGTGACCATAACTTCTTTATGGATTATTGACTCATCTGCTGCACCAATATGCAAGCAAATGTACTTTCACGGAGCGATAACCTTCGATGATTCGCTTGCCGTCTATTTGTAAGATCAAGTTCAATAGAATCAGATTTAACCAAACGACAGTACTTATCTCTGCTCGCTGTTTTCTTGGGTTTGTGTCACTTTTGATTTATTTGTAACTCTTGCTTATCTCTAGTTAAAAATACAATATTTAGGAAAATCCAATCGAGATGATGATTGCTATGTTAAATGACGGTTATGTTACATAAAATATCTATCTCGTTCATCTATTATATTCTGCTTAATTCTGCTTAATTCTAAATTTCGTCGGCTGTACATAACTTATAATATAATTTGTCTATTCAAAATTTGTTAAATATTACTTCATAACTTGTGTGTGGCTGCCTGCTATCTTTACATCACTAATTGAAACCTTATATACCATTCGTATCATTATCTTACATAAACATTCCACCAAAATAAAAAAACTTTGTAAATTTCAGCTGTCGCCCGAATATTTAGCTGTTTTGCGACAATTTACCGGAAGTGAACCGCAGCCATACACAAGCTCGAATAATGTGGCTCAGCGCAGACCACTTCCAGCCTATGCCAAACAGCAGCAGGCGTTGCAACAGGCATATTACAATTATCGTAAGCCCGCCGTGGTTCCTCCCAGACCGAGAGCTCAGTTGCATCCTCAAGCACTGGCTCAGGTCGAAGCCGTAGCGCAAGCTCAGGCACACGTCGATGCGCAAAATCGCGCTGCGGCATTGCAGCAGGCGCGCAGTCCGTCCGGAGCATCCACATATCAAGTAGAGTCTTACACCTCACCGAAATTGGGTACTTTTGAGCAGGAGTTGCTGCAATTGGTATCCGCCAATCAGGCCCAGGAGTTTAATTTGATTCCGGCGCAACCTAAAAGCGACTATTCGCAACAAGGATATATTAAATCGACGTCGGTAGCATCGGCATCTCAGTTACCCGAGCAATACCATATTGAGACTAGTCCGCCCCCTCGTTATCCACCACAGCAGCGAGTTGCAGCGACATACCAGTCGATCGAACAACCAGTTCAACTTCAATACCAAACAGCGCAAGCGGCAAATTACCCAGCAAAGGGCGTTCAAGATCGACCTTTCAGACCGTCTCCGCAGTACGATTATGTGGATGACGGTGCTCAGCTAAAAGCTCATCAAGCGCAAGTTCAGGATGAAGCTGAAGCGAATGCCAGGGCTCAGGCCCACGCCGAGGCGCAGGCCTTAGCTTTTCAGAAAATCGCCCAGGCATCATATCAGAAACATCACGACGCCGCTCTAGAGCAGATTAGGATCGATCACGAGAGGTACAGACAGCAAACCGCTTTGGAGCAAATTCAACAAGGAGATCACGTCAGTGAGGCTGGACAAGCTCATATCGAGGGTCGGCTGCATCCAAAGGATCCAGAAGCCGCTTATAGAGCCAAATTGAAGGCACAGGCGGCTGCCGAAGCCGCCGAAGCCAGAAGACTTCAAACAGATGCTGAATACAAGGCTCACGCCGATGCCATACGCCAAGTCGAAGCTCAGCAACAGGCCCATGTGAGAGCCCAGGAGAAGGCCCATCATGATGCTTTAAATTTTGAGAGAAATCAATTGCGTGCCCAGGCCCAAGCGCAGGCGCTGGCACAGGCTCAAGCCGAGGCTTTGTATAAAGTTTATCAACAATCGCGCGCCAAAGCTAACAGCGAGATTCTGGCGGTCGCCAAAGCCCAAGCCGAGGCTAAGAAAATAGATCCCGACGGCACGCCAGTCGTTCAGTACCTTCTACCTACTACTCCCAAACTTCCATCACCCAATAATTATTTTACCAATGACGACGTAAACAAGTATCAGGTTTCCGGCTCCACTTATGCTCCTAGATCAGTGACTAAGCCAGAATCTACTACTACAGCCACCAACGGCGACTCCAACGTTGAAGAACAAGCTTACGTCCAACCTGTTATCAATCAACCTCGGCAAGTACACAAGCTGAAGGTTGCACCAACTCAATCCTCTGTCTACATTTCTCAGTCGGGTCTCTTGAAAAAGTCACCCGTTAAATCTCTTACCATTGAAGAGATTATCGATCAAGATCAACTAAACAATCCTCAAATTGTACGTACACCTTCATTTAAGGATCAACAGCCTCTGAATCAAGAAGAGTTGTCCGCCCTTATTAATGCCGGTTATAATGTTACTCCAATACCTCAAACAGTTAAGTCGACACAGCAAAGCTATGTGCCGGAAAATATCTCTGCCGTGTACTATTTGAAGAAACAACGGCCAGTAGCCAGGCCCGAATATGTTACGTATGAGGAGGTCGTACAGCGACCTCGAAGACCCACTAGGAAGAATACATCTGATCTCAAACATGATAATATCAATGCTAGCGAAAAGGTTACTTACTTGGTACCCTTGGAGCCCAGTTTTGGTATAAGGCAGCCATCACTTAAGAGTAACGAGTAATAGTCGCATAGACTTTTTCATTGTCAAAAAGTGATTACGAAACATTAGAAACTCTTTTCGCACGAAATTATTTTTCTTTCAAATTTATTTGTTTTGCGTCACGTATAACATTATGATTTTGTCTTTTCGTCTCGAATTCATAAATAGTAAATATATAGGGTGTCCCAAAGCACCCTTGACAACGCTCGTGAACAGATAGAGTACAGTAAACTGAACAGAAAAGTCCTGTACCATTTTTATTCTTTAACGCTTAATAAAGGAGTTATTATTGAGTAAAGTCTGGTCAATCAGCGCCGACTTTTAGCGGCTAAAGGTCGACGCTGATTGGTCAGACTTTACTCAATAATAATTTCTTTATTAAGCGTTATAGAAAAAAATGGTACAGGACTTTTCTGTTCAGTTTACTGTGCTATACCTGTTCACGAGTGTTGTCAAGGGTGCTTTGGCACACCCTGTATACATGAGAGATTAGTCAAAAAGATAATTCTATAAGAGTATTATCTAAATTTTTTCTTTCTTTTTAATTTTTATGGTTATTTTTTATGGTTTATGTTGTTTGGGTGGTTGCACGGACAAGTCAATTGCTGATTTTAATATTTTCTTCACTACTTTGCGATTAATAATTTTTTTCCAAACCTATTTTTCAATATTGTACCGTTCAGTCTATGAACTTGGTAAAAAAAAAGAAAACGTTCTATGTACTTTGTATATAATTTTGATCCTGAGCGCTAATTTATCATTAGATATTTCCTGGATAATAGATTTATAAAGTATATTATGAATAATTTATATTAAATTAACTACTAGCATCTCGTGCTAAAAAGTTGAAGAATGGAAAGCAGGTTTTGCTGCAAAATGTTGATTTCAAAAAGTAAAATAAATTATTATAAAATTGCATTGATTGTAGCAATTTTTCCAAAAAAGTCATTGTAGCACACATATATAAGGGAAAATGCAGATAAGTTACAAATTTATTTTGTTGCATATGACAACAAATAGCATATAATCGGAAGAATTTTGTAATGAATGTTACGCAACATTATGATAGATTTATTTGTGTGCGACAGTATTGAATCGAATAATTTTATTAATTTATATTCTTTTGTACATAGTAGAATTTTAGCTAATAAAAATGTTTAAAAATTTCGCTTCCTAGTACACGTGATATTCGTCATATTTTTGATTTTGTCTCTTCTATTTTATGTCTCTTCAAATATTTATTAATACGAAAGTGAACGGAGTGCTAGTTGCAACGAGAAATATCTTTTATTAAAATTTCTTATATTGTCTAAATAAAAAATATGAGACTAAAGGCTAATTTAATAAAATAATTTTTATTATTTTGTCATAATATAATTTAAATAATGTTGCATGATGTTGATAAGATTTACAATCTTATTTGTTATTCATATTACCACAAGCGTATCATATCAATTTACTCATCATCATTATTACAATCATTAAAATCTAATTGAAAAAAAAATAGACAAAGGAAAAGAGAATATCAATCATTTAAAAAAGATATTTTAAAGTACGATTGTGTGTACATTGAAGCGTCATGTTAAAGCGTATAATAAATATAGCATGCCCTTTATCCTGTTGTATGAAAAGATATGATTTTTGTCATCATTGTTTAACATTTAATGATCTTACTCATCAAAATTAAGCACGTTGATTATGTGCAAGTTCACCGATCCATACCAATTGCTAGCAAAGCTCTTGCACCTGCAAGAATTCATGCCGTAATTTTAGTTTATAAGAAAACCGTCTTTTTAATCTACTAATTATGGTCTATTCAATCTACTTATTATGAAATTGAGAATATTGGTAAATTTTAATTTGCGTTACAGCTATAACAATAATTTTGCAAGTATCTTTCGTGAAAAAGAAAGAGAAAAAAGAGATTGAACAGAGTGCCTGTGAAATGTTTCAAAAACGATAAAAAATTGCGTTTTGTAAATAGTTTTTGCTAATTTTGCTCATCTTGCTAATCTTGATAAAAATAAATCTACATTTAGTAATAATTAAGTTATTGGATATTGAATATAAGCTATATTTAACTATATTTTTTGATAAAAAAAATGTTTTTTTTTCTCTTGTTTCAAATTCTATGGACTTATTTTAACCTGTAATAGGAAGTAAATATTGAATGATTTTCTGAAACTTGTTTGTGTTGAAGTCGACAAGGGTAACCGCTCTGCCATTAGTTACTTGTAAGGTCATAACATTGACCTCAATAATACAAGGTAGTTCCATTCTCTTATTTCTCTATTTCAATTATAAAATTTATTTCAATTAAGAAAATTGTTATGCTGGTAATACAAGCAATAAAATCACGAACATCTAATGTTGATGAAAAATAACAAAAGCGATATAATTTAAAATACGATAAATTTTACGAGTTACATAAAATTCTTTTTTTCCATATTTCTTTTAAATTATTTGTGATATCGCTTTAATATTTAAAATTTATTGAATAATCAAATAAAAATTAATATTTAATGCATTAAATCTTACATTATATATTTTAATGTAAATTTGTTTGATATAAATTTATAAATAAAAATTGGTATAAATATACGATATATCTATAAATTGATGAATGCTATAATATAAGTACTATACTTGCTCGATATTTAATTAAAATAGCGATTGAAAAGATAGTCACCCTTGACTCAGTTCAACGAAAGATTAATGACCTTGTTTGAAGGTAAACATGAAAAAAGCAGTCGACACAAGTGTCTGTGCTAGTGAATGATCAAGAGACGTCGCATTTAATTTTAACTCGTGCTCCAAGAAGACTGGTCGACGACGATGTATATAAGCTTTGCTGCCACGGATTTTGAACTCAGTTAGATAGCACGAAGTAAAAGCGCCATTGTTGCAAAATATTGTAAATTTCTGTAGCGTTTGAAAGGTGAATTATATATTTAAAACTTTACGATAAAATCTGACAAACACTCATAGTGCTTGTGGTGCAATATGTGTGAAAAATACGTACATGTCACAAATAATGTTATAATTGAATTACTTATAATTAAATCAAAAATTTTATATTTCTATAAGTGATATTTGAAGTATAATATCTTAAAACATTAAAATGGCACTCCTTTAAAAATGCGTGAAAATCAGTTTATGGATTTTGTAGCACATGAAAAAAACATATGCAATTCTTGCATGAGAACAGTGTTCAGATTAAATTAAAGTACAATAACGCAGCAAATTAAAAGCGTTGAGAATAAAAACAATTATAATTTTTATATTTATTATGACATAATGTTACATATAACGCTACATTTTGTCAAAGCTTATATTTTATTTGTCCAATATTATAACCTATAATGCAAAGAAAGCTTACATTGTCAATGTGTGATGAAGAAATCGAGCCGTATTTTAACATAGAGATATTTATTTCAATAATAATCATTATTACTCAGATTGTATATTCTTTGCTTTAAGTAAGAAGATTCTAATTTTACAGAAAAGTGCCAGGAAAAAATGCCGACTATCTGTATGAATGTTATTATCCTGTTCAGTCTAATGTCAACTTGCATGGCTACGCCGATCTTTTTTGTATCGCCTGAAAGTGCGATACAAGACATAGTGCTAACCCATCCAGCTGTCTTAATTAATTCTGCAATTGAAGACAATTTGCCCAGTCAATTGCGAAATGATTTTTATAAAAATCCGAACGTTGCTACTGGTCTCGCTAAGGAATCCTGGTTTATCGATAAAGAAATGCAGGTACAATATTTTCATAATTTATCCTGTTAGATGAAATTTAACAAGTATTTATTTTCAATCATTGGGAGCTATTTGTTTATTTTATTAGATTAAAAACTTTCGAGATATAATTACTTCAAACGTTAAATTTTTAATGTTGACATATGAATTTCGTCAGCATTTTGTAGTGATATTGATACTATTTATAATATTCAATTATTTCATAATATCAAAAACTATATGAACTATGTACGCGGACGTATGCACGTATTGTATGTGTACGTGCGTGCCTGTGTGTATAAGAATTTTTGTGCATTAATGTTATAATATTATATATACTATAATATTACGATAAATAAATAAACAAAAATAAAATATATAATTTAAAAAACTTTATATATATATTACACAATTCTCTCCAGAACTATAAAAAACTTACTTTATTATACATTTTATTGAATTATTCTTTACCTTTTATTATATAATATTAAATAAAAAACAAAAATTACTCTCGTTACATGCTGCTCTCTAATTGTCTGATTTTTTAAATAAATCTAAATTAAATGGCAAATCAAGTTCTCATAGCTTTCTACAATATTTACATGCTATTACAGGTAATTGATCGAGAAACAGACAAAATTTCCAGAGAAAAAATCTACAGCATACTACATAATGCTGGACTAGCTCGCAAATAATATTGCGACAATAAATAAAAACTACGTGATTTTATCTCCAGTAAGTAAACATTTCAGTTAAGACTGTACAATAAAATTAAATTAAATAAAAAAATAATTTTCTGTGAATTGTTTCCAATACTTGGAAATTTCAAAAATGTATTTACCCGCTTGCAATTTTTTGCAGTTTCTTTTTCACATATGTACAATTAGATAAGCGATAAGAACTAAACAGAATTATTTATACGCGTATACGTAAAATAATTTTTGTTTTGTAATAAACAATGCAATATCCTTTAACTATAAATCTGCATAAACGTCAGTAATTAGCTTACATTTTGTTAACATGGTATCCTTTTCATTTATTGTATACTCATGTACAGGTTATCAAACATGATTCGTCAAGTTAGTGTACACGCGCAGATTATTCAATCTGCATTTCTTCC